TGTATCTGTTGTACTACAGACATCGTCCACTAGGGTAAGACCGTGTATCTGTTGTACTACTGACATTTCTACTGAGCCAATTATTTGTGGGTCAATTACTTTCTCATCTGTCCCGTGAGAACCCCATTGTTGTTCTGTATAACTTGTTTTATAACTTCCTGCTCCTCCCATTAAATCTTCGAAGCTATTTCGGTATTGAATTTTACTTCTATCCAAGGAATTTTGGTAGATCACAATATATTCAAGCTGTGACCATCTCACAAGTGTATTGTTTCTGCAATCCATTCAAGGTCTCTGTCACTCAACTTTTTATTTTGAGCAAAAACTTCTATGGTCATATTAAGTAAAACCTTTATAATGACACCTGTATGGTGCATAGTCTGATTGTATAAGGACATACATAACAATGCATGCTAAAACTCCATTTAAAGAAGTAAGTGTACTTCCAATTGTTTTTAAACTGTCCTTTCATTGTGACCCGTGACTCTAGAACTGGAAAATCTATCATATCTGAAGACAACTTTTCATGTACTTTTCGTTATAAATACTGCTAGTATGTGTCATGTGGATTTATCAAATACAACAATATATGACGTAAGAATGTATTTCACACATACTTCACTGCATTTCCCAGGGGTCACATTTTTCCGTGGAACTAGATTTAGCAATCTTTTTCTTAACTAAGCATGCAAAGAAAATTAAACACACTCATAAATACACTGGAAGTATCATAATTTGATAACTCGAAGCACTAAATACTTTGCAGGCATAGGTAATAACACTTAACACTTCACAACAGCCTATTAAGAAAATGTAAATAGAAAGCAAGGTAGCCACACACATAAAAATCGCCGGTCCACTTTTCACTTTACTCCGAAAACTAGACATTTTTATTTTGGTTCATCAACGTTTTATAGCTGACCGGAAGAACGCCTTGCCCATCCTAGACTTGGCCTTGGATTTGGTATTTAGGGCTAGACCAATTGATTTCTGGTGGTGATATGATCAACATCACGCTGGCCGCCTTTACTTTCACGGACTTTGACCTAGTGCCCATTCAAGGCTGGGTCGACCTGGCAACCAAAGTTCGCCTCCGTTGGTAGTCTGCAGCAGTTAAACAATTTACACATTTTTAGCAGTTCTCTAAACAAACGGGAGAATGCCGGGAATGAATACTTACACCTGATTTGTTTTCCTTTCGCTGTAATTGAGCAATGTCTAATAAATATGTGCCAGGGTTAGCAGTTAGTAGACATAATAGAAACATCTGTTGTTTATGATGTCACTGTCTTGAAAGCACATGCCACAGAGAGCTAAAAAACATGATCGATACATCGTGTAGACAGAGAAAGCACGGGTAAATCTTAGCTTTAAAGCAAGAAGTAGTTTTTGTGGCGAGTTCAGTTACAGACATACAGCAAAGTTGAGCTTTATTGTGCTTGTGTATTGATTGTCTATACTCAATATGGGTGCTATTTGACTCTTTGCTAGTTTTCTCAAACACTTTTGGAAACGTATATGATACGTCTGCAGAGTTTATTAGATGCACAGTGAAAGTCTCCAGTCAGAGCAGATAGTATAAGCTTGAGATAGGGCTCCAGCAGACAGGATACACACCAGAATGCGATTGACAGGTTACACTCCACGGCATTGACAGGCACGATCAGACCCTTTATTGTGGGGACAGACAGGATCAACCATTGTTGACCAGTACGATCAGACAGGTTACTGTCACAAGATGATTATGTCACGTGTCTAAATTAGGATCTCCCCTAATTATATAAGACACTCCAAAATGGCACAATGTTGTGCTGGCGGTTCGTATCGACCTCGGTAGTACATCCGCAGCTCCAACAACCATCCATCACCACCCCAGGGATGAAGTATTCAAGTTACTGGAACCACAACATTTCCACAGATATTCCAGGGCACAACTTGGCCAGACTTCCTCTCCCCACCAGATTACCCCCAGACTGAATAGAAGCACTATCACAGCCCATAACACAGTACAGAAGAAATCTGATTGGATAACCAAACCATACAGAGACCCTACTAATGTGAACTGTGAAATCACGACACAAACCAAGTTACTTTGAAGATAACAAAGTATTATCTAATAAGTTTATAACAATATTGGAAATCTTAATGGATTGGCAAAGAAGACTGGCATGACAAAAAAGTTCTATACAAATAATTTCTCAGACAGCACAAAATTACTTATGGACTGCCCTAGGTCTCTGGTCTTTAAATCACCACAGCACTCATGATGTGACAGGTGAAGGTACTTTTGGGTACAGATCCTTTGAAAGTATGTTCAGCGAATAGTGATTGGTAATAGTTTACAGTCTCCTTTCCACATTCGCATACAATAATTCTCAAAGAGCAGCCTAAACTTGATTTCAGGCATTGATTACAGTGTTCACAAAGTCCACTAGGCACTGTGGTATCTAGGTAGAAATGTGACTAACTACATGTAGAGACTGCCCATAATACAAACAGTCATTGTCCGATTGCAATGTAGTGATTGACTCCCTTCAACTTAAATCTACACAATTCTCCAAAAACTATTTTAGGCTTCGACTGGTGG